ACCTTTTTAAAGTGTTGAAGAGCAAAGATGTCAGCTTGAGAAATAAGGTGTGCCTGACCCAAGCCATGGTATTTTCAATAACCTCATATGCATGTGAAAGCTGGACAGTGAATAAGAAAGGCCATAGAAGAATTGGTGTATTTGAGTTATGGTGCTGGAGGAGAATACTGAAAGTGCCACAGGCTGCCAAAAGAACCAAAAGATCTGTGTTGGAAAAAGTTCAGCCAGAGTGCTCCTTGCAGGCCAGGATGGCCAAACTTTGTCTCTCATACTTTGGACATATTGTCAGGAGGGACAAGTCACTGGAGAAGGATATCATGTTTGGTAAGGTTGAGGGTCAGAGAAAAAGAGGAAGACCCCCAGCGAGATGGATTGGCAAAGTGGCAGCATCAATGGGCTCAAGTGTGGCAATAATTGTGAGGTTGGCCCAGGACCGGCAATGTTTCGTTCTGTTGCACATAGGGTCACTATGAGTTGGTACTAATTCAATGGCACCTAACAACAACAAAGCCTTTAAGCATAGAGATCATTCCTTCCCTCCCATCTCTTCATCCTCATCAATTTCAAGATGGATCCAACCCCTGAACTGTTTCTTGTTCTTCAAGTTGGCAGGCTGAACATCTTGGAAGGGCTAGCTGCCCTGATGCTGCCCTGGTGGTGTGATGTGCGAGTGAACCTGATCAGCCTATTGGAGCAGCTGGAAGAGGCCCCACAGCTTGTCAAACTTGGACTGAAAAACTGGAGACTTACAGATTCAGAGATTAAAATTTTAGGTAAGTACAAAGTTCTTAAGATGACTTTATTAATTTTTTCAGCCCCTGCTCTTGTAACTCTGGACTCCTGGTGTGATGCTGTAGGATCAGCAGTGGACTGTGAATCTCAAGGTTCAAACCCAGCAGCTGCTCCTTGGACACTTTATACAGGGTCGCTAAGAGTCAGAACCAACTTAACAGCACTTAGTAACAACTTATACCTCTGAGGTCCTGATGTAGTGCTGAAGGGTAAGAACTGGACTCATTAGCAAGGTCAGCAGTTCAAACCTAACAACCACTTCTCAGAAATCCTATATAGGGTCACTATGAGTTGAAACCAACTTAATGGTACTTAATAACAACATATACTTCTGGGGAAGCCCTGGTGATGCAGTTGTTGAAGTGCTTGGCTGCCAACAAAAAGATCAGCGGATCAAACCCACCAGCGACTCAGAGTGAAAGATGTGGCAGTCTGCTTCCGTAAAGATTTACAACATTGAAAATTCTGTGGGCCACTTCTACTCTGTCTTCTTGGGTCAGCATGAGTTAGGATTGACTTAGTGGCAATGGGCAATTTTTTAAAAAACTTTTTATGATGAATTCAGTGAAGGTTTACAGGGAAGATCATCAGTTTTACATTCAACAAAGCGAGCATGTGGTCCAGTGCTTGTCCTGTAGCTTGCTTATTCATTATTTTTGCTGTGAAATATTCTGTTGTATGAATATGTTGTTGGGTGCTGTCAACCAGATTCCAAATTAGAGCAAACCTATGTGTAGAACTGCTCCCATAGGGTTTTCTTGTCTATAGTTTTTATATAGATTTCCAGGTCTTTTTCCACAAAGCCATCAAGTGGATTTGAACCACCAACCTTTTAGTTAGCAGTCAAGTGCTTAACTGTTGTGCCACTCGGTCACCACAGTTTTATGGTATATATGCATCTACCATAAGTGATTTACCATTCTACTCTTGGTAGATATTTGTAGAATTTCTTGTTTTTTAATACTATGAATACTACTACTGGACATGTCTTTTGGTGAACATCTGGGCACATTTCTACTGGGTATTTATCTAGGAGTGCAATTTGGATTATAAAGTAAGCTTCTGTTTAACTTTAGTAGATATGCCAAGCATCTTTCCAATATTATTGTATCCAATTCAGCATTTAAAAAACAATGGTTTTCTGTACTATGTACAGAAAGCACTTGGTTTTTATTCTAATACCATTTGAATTTAGAGAGTGTGATCATAGATCTGTCTGTCCCAGTGTGAGTTCTTTAAGGACAAGTCCAAGCCACTGGTATTTATATTAAATATATATTCCACAGTGAGTACTCAATACATGTTTGTTGCATGAATGAACAAACGAACTTACAGGAGATTCACAACTTGCTGTTAGGTATAAGCTACATGTTCAAATCTTTGCTATTAGTAAAAGCTGTTTTCTATCATCAAGAAATATAAATGCACTAGTATAACTTTGTAATCTCTTTCCAATATCAAAACCAAACAACTGTTGAAAGCTTCTAACTGAAGTTTCCTGGATCTGGTCCAGAATATCTCCCTGGCTTGGGGATTTCCATCTCCATTTAGTGATGGTATGTGTGACAGACAAGATGCAGTATACCCCGAGATGGAATGATACAATGCGGACTGTATGTAATAAGAGATGAGAAGTGAAATGAAATAAAGACTACGTAAAACTTAGGGATGAATGCTGTCATGGGATAGTTAGTGTGTAAGGAGATACAGGGTGGTTAAGATACACTGGAGACGTAGGGGTAGTTTGGAGAAATGAAACTCTTTACCAAAGGTGTTAGACACCTCCTAGGAGTCCTGGTGTGGCGCTGTGGGCTAATGTGTCAGACTGCAAACTAGTCTGAACTGTAAGGTCAGAGGTTCAAGCTCACCCGCTGCTCCTTGGAAACCCTATACAAGGTCGCTATGGGTCAGAATTGACTGGATGACACTTAACAACAACAATAAGTTTAACTGGGAGCCCTGGTGCGGCTCTGTAGGATAAGAACTGGCTACTAACTGCAAAGTCACAGTTCAAACCCACCAGTCACTCCTCAGAAACCCTATACGGGGTGGTTATGAGTCAAGAACGGACTGGACCGCACACAGGAACAACCTTAGCGGAAAACTGGCTCCCGTCAGAGCCATGTGAAATCATCACTTTTCAGCCTCTGTCTCTCTCGTTTTTTTCTATATCTCTTGGTGTATAAAGGAAAGGCCAAGTCCGCCTTCATTTACCCTGTCCATCCAGCCCACTCTTCTGTCAGCCCATAAAAAAATCCCTACTTCCACAAGGCCTAGGCCATTGAACTGAATCATTTGCTGTCTCTTCTCATTGCTGTCAGCTATGAACTTTTTGTTGTCTTTTCTTTATCACTATAATCTTTTGTACCTGGCTTTCAGAATTCCTTACCTTCAGCTTCTGTCTTTCTAGAGGCCCTCACCAGGCATCCACCATGTGAAATTACTCAGCCAACAAGCCACACCTTCCTCTTCAATAGCCTGCCCTCCCACTTTCCCTCACCCACTCACTCCAACTGAATTGTGTAATTGACTTAAAACTCTCCTTTCTCTGAGATATTAAATTCAGACTTGATTCTCAAGCCATAATCTCTTTATCTCCTATATAAAGGGGCTTCAAAAAGTTTATGGAAAATGGAATGAAAAGACAACAGAGTGTCCCCACAAATTTGTGAAGGCCCCTCATGTTTCTACCTTACCTACCTAATGACTCCTAATCACCAGGTCTTTTACTTCATTGAGCCCAACTTTTCTTTTATTCCACTGAGTCCAATATTCTACCGATTTTTCAGCCACCTTTTATCTTGACTTCCCTGCCCACCCAGTTTAGATTCCATCATCCATCCTTGCACGTACTCTTCTTCTCAATAGCTGAAACTTTCATGGTCCATAGTATCACACAAGTCATTTTAGGCAGTGGCATTTAGTGATGGATATGTATAATAGATGCAATAGTGAGACAAAGAAAGTGTAATGAGAGAGGCAGTCTCTAATTAAAGAGAGATTACCTACTGAGATGCAGGGGGGAAATGAGCCATGGGATGTGAGGTATGAAATGAGATATAGCAGTTGGAGTGTACCTTCCTGGCACAAACCCAAGCCTAGATTGTCCCTCGTTCTCTACCTTTTCTGCAGCTATATCCAGGCTACTGGGGAAAACAGTTTGGCAGATAGGTATGTGTTGAATTCATATGAACAAGTTTGAACAAAAATATTTTGAACCAAATGCTAAGAATACCCCATATACCCAAACCTGTGGCATTCAGCAAAGCACATCTTGAAGGGCATACTCATAGCCATAAATACCTATATTATAAACGAAAAATTACTGAAAACCAGTGAGTTACATTTCTAGTTTAAAAACCAAAGAAAAGAAAAATCAAGTAAACTTCAAGTTAATCTGCCCAACAGTAGAAATCAATGAACTAGAAAACAAAACTATGTACAATTAGGGTAGAGTTAAATTAACAAGACTTAAAGTTGATTCTTTAAAAAGAGTAACAAAGCAGACAAAATTCAAGCAATGCTGATCAAGAAAAAGAGTGTCATAAGTAATTTAACTAATTAGAGACATAAGCACACAGATGTTTATAGCTATTTTACTCATAACTGCCAAAAACTGACGGCTACTAAGAGACCCTTCAATCGATGAATGGATAAACTTTGGGATATCCATACAATGGGATGTTATTTGGTGATATAAAGAAATGAACTACAAACCATAAAAAACATGGATGAACTTTAAATGCATATCACTAAATGAAAGGAATAAGTCTGAAAAGGCTGCATATTGCATAATTCCAAAGTCAAAACTATCAGTATTTGCCAGAGATGTGAGGTTAAGGGAAGAAGGATTGAATAGGTAGGTCACAAGCGGTTTTTTAGAGCAGTGCAGCTATTCTGTATGATACCGTCCTTGTGGCTATGTGAAACGATTCATTTGCCAAAACTCATAAACTTCACAGCACAAAGAGTGAACCACATAAGCAAAATTAAAAAAAAAAAAAAAAATGTATTTGGGAGATTGGAGAGCTTCCAGATGGAATAAAGAATGCGACCAAACAATTTAACTAAATTACAAATGTATGAAGCAGCCTTAGTGAAGGCAGATGGTGGAAAAAAGTGCTGGCCTAAATAACTTTGGAAATAAATAGAGTCTGTAAAACTAAAGGCAAAAGAAACTGTGCATAAGTACTATACTCTAGTTAATAAAATTATATTCCACAGGAGTGTTGTTGTTGTTAAATACCATTTAGTTTGTTCCAACTCAGTAAACTTTCATAGGGTTTTGGAGAACAGCTGATAGGTTTGAACCTCCAACCTTGTGGTTAGCATTCCAGTGCTTATCCTACAACACCACACCACAGGAATCTTGTATAAACAACTTTGAGTCCAGATATGACACTGTAGGGTGAGCCCTGAACTGCTAACCACAAGGTTGCAGTTAAAACCCACCAGCCATTCCATGGAAACCCTATATAGGGTCGCTATGAGTCGGAACTAACTGAACAGCACTTACAACAATAACATACATGTACAGTGCGTAGTGGTTACGGATCGGGCTGTGAACCTTAAGGTCAGCAATTCAAAACTACCAGCTGCTCCGCGGGAGAAAGATGAGGCTTTCTACTCCCGTAAAGATTTACACCCTCGGAAACCCTGTACAGGGTCGCTATGGGTCGGAACCGACTCGGCGGCACTTAACAACAACAACAACAGTGGAATTGAACAATTAAGCAAATCAGTGTCAAATAATGGGAGCAAATTTTCTTACTATTGAAGCGGAATGTAGACAAGTATGCATTTGACTTGGAGACATTAGTATGAAAAAATGCGAGCTCCATATAAATGTACAATGGCTACATGTGGAAATGTCTATATAGAAAGTTAATCTACACACATCTATTTCCTTGTTCTCTCAGCTAAGAGCTTCTAGAAGCAAAGGCCTCACAGTAGCTTGATTTTAAATAAAAAAGAATAAGGC